GCTTTATTGAGTGGAGTATTTTATTTTGGAGGATATTAAGATGTCATTTTGAATTGATAAGGTGTAAGGTGTAACAGAATGTGGGATCTTGAATACTTAAAGGCTTTTGGGCCTGAAGTTGAGTCAGTTAGCATTTATTGAAGGATTGCTTTTGCTTCGCTCCCTGACACCACGAGATTTCTTGAAACCATAAGGGGTTGGAGGAGCAAGGTTTACTCTTCTTAATTTGTAAGACTTTGAAACATTGTTTCTGTTCACAGTTATAATGCATAATTGGAAAACAGTGCCAGCTTTTTCAACTTAATACATTTACAAGGTTCATTCCTGTTCTCTGACTTGAATAATATGTGCCAGCATAGTTCAAGAAACTAACATCCATGTGAATGTAGGATTAAGATTGTAATTTAACCGTATATTGTCAGCAGTTAACTGCTTTTAAGACTAGTGACTCACTTTCCTACTTGAAGCTTTTTAAGAACTGCTGTTTGGGTTTGAGCTTTCTAGTGGGGCATGGTAAATAAATTAAAAAAAAATCTCTATTAGGACATGGTATAAGGTACAAACTATGAATTTTATTTTTATCTTATTGTTTAAATCTTTATTTTTCAAGTGATCTCTACACCCATTGTGGGGTTTGAAATTATGACCCCTGAGATCAAGAGTTGCATGCTGTACTGACTGAACCAGCTAGGTGCCCCCCCAAACTGTGAATTTTAAAATGCGCAATTTTTATTCTTTATTATGTTTGTGAATTTTGTTCTAAAGTAGAATTTATAAAACATTTTGAGATACAATTCACATACCATACAGCTGACCCATTTAAAAAGTGCTGTTAATTGGTTTTTAGTATATTTAGAGTTGTGCAGCTGTCACCATTTTCATTATGCCAAAAAGAAACTATGTACGCAGTACCAGTCATTGTCTACTTCCCCCTTCCCCTTAGCCCTAAGCAGCCACTACTCTATTTTCTTTCTAAGAAGGAAATTTTTTTGTGATTTGAAACTTTTTAGTAACTTTTTCAGGGTTAAATGCTTAACAGCACAGGTCATTTCCTTCTAGATGTTTCCTGTGCATATATAAACACAGATTCAGGAATGTGTTGTAGTTTTAAGCCAAATGGGAACATTGTAAATTATTGCACCTGCACATAATTGTGAACACACTGTGTGATAGTCTTTTTGCCCTTAATAGATTGTGGCTATCCTTTCAGGTTAGTAAATACCTTTGTATCTTTTTTAAGGGCCTTGGTACATGAAACCACAGTACTTTGACTGACTTATCCCAGGTCACTGAACTTTTTTTTTTGGCTTTGACTTTGTAAACAGTGCTGTAGTAAACAATATGGTAGTTTTATTTTTGTATTCTGCAATGATTTCTTTAGAATGTATTTACAGAGGTGAAATAGATCAAACAAAAGAATGCATTTAACATTTTGATAGATATTTTCACACTGTTCTCCAGATTTCCACATTGTTCTACCAACACTGTATGAGTATTGTTAATTTTTTCTGTTGGTGTATATATTATTTTCCTAGATTTATAGGACTGTTTTTGTATCTTTTAACTTTATTGTGTCTTTTGCAAAATGTAGAGTTTTAAAAATCAAAAGTATTGGTCTTCTGCTTTTGACTTCTTATATACTTAGGTCATCCCTCACCCGATCTCCTGCCTTTCTTGTAATATTTTCGTACTTCTCTTTTTACGTTTTATATCTGTAATTCATCTGGAGTTTGTTTCTGTGTATTGTATAGGCAGGAAGTAGTGATGTAGTTTTACTTTTCTCACATTGGTAACTAGTGATCCTGGCACCATTTGTTGATTTCAGAGACCTCCTTTATAATAAAGTAGATCTCCTATATGTGGATCTGTTTTGACTCATTTGTTATATTGGTATGTTTATTCTTATTCTGGGGCTAGAATTTTCATTTTTTAAAAAAATTATTGAGGTATAATTGACATAAAATGCACACATTTTAAGTGTGAAATACAAGTATTGACATATCAGAGAATTCAGCTGAAGTGATCACTATAATCACATTAATTCCCATCTTCTCCAAAAGTTTTGTGGGCCTGTTTTAATTCCCTGAGCAGCAACTGGTGGTGATCTGCTTTCTGCCTAGGCCTAGAATTTAAATATTGTATTTTTTTTTTTTTAAGATTTTTATTTATCAGACAGAGAGAGACACAGCAAGAGACCGAATACAAGCAGGGGGAGTGGGAGAGGGAGAGGCAGGTTTCCTGCCGAGCAGGGAGCCCAAAGTGGGGAGCCCGACATGGGGCTCTATCCCAATCATGACCCGAGCCAAAGGCAGATACTTAACAACTGAGCCACCCAGGGCAACAACTGTGCCCCTAATTATTGTATTTTAATGGCATTTGGAATGACAGTAAAACAGTTGTTATTTCTAGAGTCACAGGTATACCCCAGTCCCAAAGGGATGAATGCTTCTCCACAGATACCTATAAAAGTTGCTCCCTCACCACTGTCAACTTCTTTGCCTTAAATGTTACCTTCTCATTGAGGCCTTCCATGAACATTATTTAAATTGCAGCTCTGTCCACTTTAATCTTCTCAATAGCCTTTTATTTATTTATTTATTTAATTGCAAAACAATTGAAAGTAATTTTTTTAAATTTTCTGCATTATTTATTAAAAAAAAAAAAGATTTTATTTATTTGACAAAGAGTGACATAGCCAGAGAGGGAACACAAGCAAGGGAAGTGGGAGAGGGAGAGGCAGGCTTCTCACTGAGCAGGGAGCCCTATGTGGGGCTCGATCTGAGGACCCTGGGATCATGACCTGAGCTGAAGGTAGCCACTTAACGACCAAGCCACGCAGGTGCCACCCTCTCAATAGCCTTTAAACCATCTTGTAATTTTCTGTACTTTCCAAAATGTTTGCAGTGAAGGTTTATTTTTAGAATTCAAAATTACCTTAAAGAGATTAATTTTAATGGGAGGGAAGAAAACCTATGTGTTTTGATTTTTTTTTTTTTTTTAAAGATTTTATTTATTTATTTGACAGAGACCACAAGTAGGAAGGGAGGCAGGCAGAGAGAGAGAGGAGGAAACAGCCTCCCTGCTGAGCAGAGAGCCCTATGCGGGGCTTGATCCCAGGACTCTGGGATCATGACCTGAGCTGAAGGCAGAGGCTTTAACCCACTGAGCCACCCAGGCGCCCCTGTGTTTTGATTTTTAAAGCCAATTTCAAACATTATTCTGTGGCACTCATGGCACCCATAGTCTTTAAATTTAAAACCTAATAAATACGCTATATCTTAAGTTCCTCTCAACTCCGGGAGGGAAAACTTGTTGCGTTATCACCTCACAGTAATACAAAGTGTAGGGTAATGAACTAAAGATAGTAACTGCTCAAAAAAGGAGCAAATTAAGGTTTATTGTTTGCATCATATCAGGTGGAATTCTTTTTTTTTTTTTCTCTCCCTTAGGTGGAATTCCAGAAAAAAATTAAATCACATAAACTAATATATGCCAGTGCTTAGAAGATTATTTTGATTAGCTCATCTTTTTCTTTTTTTAATTCAAAGGAGATAGGAACTCTATTAAAATATATTCTCCACAGATAAAGTTTTGGATTTATGTATTATGTGTTCTTTTAGGATCATAAAATCCAGAATGAGCTGATGTGCTTGGTAGCTGCCGCCTTTTAAGATTTTATTTATTTGACAGAGAGCTCAAGCAGCAGGAGCAGCAGGAAGAAGGAGAAGTAGGCTCCCTGCGGAGCAGGGAACCCCGGTGGGGCTCAATCCCAGGACGCTGGGACCTGAGCCATGGGCAGATGCTTAACTGAGCGAGCCACCCTGGCGCCCCTTATAGCTGCCTTCTTAATTATGTTGTTGTGACTTATCTGGGTAGATTTACTCAATGAGAAGATGTAGTTGAGGGTTCATGTCAAGGCTGCTGAATGGAGGAAGACATTTTGTCGGCCTTCTGGCTGAAGACCTGTTAGATATAGGAAGCTCCTGTTTTTTGTCCCAGTTGTTTGTACTGTAATAATGATCATGAAGTGTTCAGCTCATGAAACTTTGTGTTTATGTCACCAGAGTTTATTCCCCTTACATGTAAAAATATATGCAGAGGGGCATCTGGCTGGCTGTCAGTGGAGCTTGTGTCTCTTGATCTTAGGTTGTGAGTTCAAGCCCCATGATGGGTGTAATGATTATAAATAAATAAACAAACAAACAAATGAAGATATGTTAAAACAAGGATCATTGTTATTAGCGATGAATGTAATTTTGTTTCTCAATATTACACGTGAATTAAGGACTTTTTCCATGGCCCAATTTCATTCTGTATATCATCATAAACAGTGATTTGAAAATCAAATAACGCCTGGGTGGTTCAGTCAGTTAAGCATTTTGCCTTCCGCTCAGGTCGTGATCCGAGGGTCCTGGGATTGAGTCCCACATCCTTGTTCAGTGGGGTGTCTGCTGCTCACCCTCCTTGTGCTAGCTAGCTCGTGCTCTCTCTGACAAAATAATCAATAAAATCTTTCTCCTTCGCATTTAAAATAACTTGTAGTTACTTTTGATTTCTAAAGTCAGTAAATGCTTATTGTAAATATTTTGGATAGTATGTACAATTACAGAATTATAAAAACACCCAAGAAGCAAACCCCAAACCCAGCCAACCAACCACCAACTAACTCTAATTCAGTCTTCTGCAATATTCTACTGTTAGTTTACCTTTTGTGACAGGACCATCTGGTTTTTTTATTCAAAGCTTGTAAAAATGTAAATGATTATAGTATATTTACAGACAGGAAGATCTCTTTGGTGCTAGTAATGAGAATGACTGCTTCTTGACCTTTGCTTTTGTGTGTTTGTTTTTCGTTGGTTTGTTTTTTAAATCTGATGGTCAGTATGAATTTTTACTGATTATTTCTCTTGTTTAGAGGTAAACTTATGGTTCATTTCTAGCAAGTATATAGGACTCAATAACATTTTATTTATTTGTTCATTTAAAGATTTTTTTTGTTTATTTGACTGAGAGAACGTAAAAGAGGGAACACAAGCAGGGGAAATGGGAGAGGGAGAAGCAGGCTCCCTGCTGAGGCTGGATCCCAGGATCCTGGGATCATGACCTGAGTTGAAGGCAGTCGCTTAACCAACTGAGCCCCCCCAGGTGCCCCTCAATTACATTTTATAAGCAAGTCTCTTCTCATTTTCCCTTTGCCTTAATTTTCTCACTAGTTGAGTTTCATTTTGTAAGTCACTCAATCCTTTTTGGAAGAAGTTGAGATAAAAGTAAAAACATTCCTGTGATTATAGTTTTCTGTCTCTTTTTTCTTTTTTTTTTTTTTAAGATTTTATTTATTTATTTGACAGACAGAGATCACAAGTAGGCAGAGAGAGAGGAAGGGAAGCAGGCTCCCGTCTGAGCAGAGAGCCTGATGGTGGGTCTCGATCCCAGGATCCTGGGATCATGACCTGAGCCGGAGGCAGAGGCCTTAACCCACTGAGCCGCCCCTTCTTTCTATTTTCAATTTAACATATCAGAGTATTTTATGATAGAATATTTCCATAGATAATTTTAAGGTTGTGTACTATTCTCTTTTCCTAATATTGTTCATTTAGGCTTCTAAATTTTTACCATTGTCGGTGGTGCTGTAATGAATATTTTTATCAGTTGTAGTTTGAATTATTTTCTTCACTTAAGCTTTAGAAGCAGAAAAATACTGTTAATCCTTTATAATGCTGTTCTACCTCTTTAACTATTTTTTCCCCATTTTTAAGATATAATTTACATATAGTTAAAATATTAATTTACAGTTTGGTAGGTTTTGACAAATACATATATTCTTGTAACCACCATAATCAAGATATAAAACAGTTTGAACACTTCTCCAAATTCCGAGGAGTCCCTTGGTGTAGTCAGTTCTTATCTCCATTCCCAGCCTCTGGTAATCATGAATCTATTTTTTGCCTCTCTAGTTTTGTCTTTTCCAAATGTCGTGTACTATAAATGTGTGTAACTTTTGAGTCTGGTTTTTTTTTTTTTTTTTTTTTCACTTAGCATAATGCATTTGAGAATCTGTGTTGTATATGACAGTACTTTGGTCCATTTTATTGCTCAGTAGTATTTCATTAAATGGTTGTGCGACTGTTGATCCACTTTGTATGCTTAATTTTAATTCTCAGCTGGAAAGCTTGGTATACTCTTTACTTGAAAGATGGCATGTAGGTGGCATATTTTATTACTTTTCTATATTGTTTGTGTGTGTGTGTGTTTAAAGATTTTGTTTATTTATTTGAGAGAGAGTACAAGCTGGGAAGAGAGGGTGAGGGAGAAGCAGACTCCCTGTTGAGGAGGGAGCTCCATTGTGCAGCTCTATCCCAGGACCCTGGGATCATGACCTGAACCGAAGGCAGATCCCTAACTGAGCCATCCAGGCGCCCCTGTATTGTGTTTCTATAGCCTTTATACAGGAGACAGAATTGTGTCAGTACATAAAATCTTTGGGCCATAGATAAAATATTTTATTGTCTTTGGCACATAATATTTTAGAGAACCAAGGATAAACTATTTTTCCCCCCTGCTGGGATACGTAAGGAATACTCCATCATTAGGACAATTTGTTCAGGATGTGATTTTTATGTGCTATATGAGTGAGACCTTTTGTTCTTAATAGTTTTAAAGCTTGAGAAGGTTTCTTTGGTTATTTTAGGTTTTTTGCTCAGGAATGACCTTTTTTTTTCTTTTTGAACTATCAAGTTGTACCTTCATTATTTTTTAGAGCACTTGTCTTTTATTTATTTGAGAGAGAGTGTGAGAGAGAACAAGCAGAGGAAGGCAGCAGAGGGAGAGGGAGAAGCAGTCTCTGCTAAGGAGAGAACCCCTTGTGGGGCTTTATATAAGGACCCTGGGATCATGACCTGAGCTGGAGGGACATATAAATGACTGTGCCACCCAGGTGCCCTAGCAATCATCTTTCTTTAATTAAAATTTTTGATTTAGTTAATTATTGATTCTCATGCTATTGTAAGAAATAATAGAGAAATCCTTTATACACTTTGCTTCTGTGCCCCCGCCCCCCGCCCATCACGTTTTGCAGGTAATAGTTGTGTAGTATGACATCACAGCTAAGATGATGACATTGAAGGGCGCCTGGGTGGCTCAGTTGGTTAAGTGACTGCCTTCAGCTCAGGTCATGATTCTGGAATCCTAGGATCCAGTCCTACATGGGGCATCCTGCTTGGCAGGGAGTCTGCTTCTCCCTCTGACCCTCCCCATTCTCATGCTCCCTCTTTCTCTCTCTCTCAAATAAATAAAATCTTAAAAAAAAAAAAAAGATGATGACATTGATAAAAATCTACCCAGTCTTAGTTATTTCCAGTTTTGGACTCATTTGTATGTGTGTATTAAGTTCAGTATAATTTTATCACCTTATGTAGGTTTATTTATTTACCACTGTAGTCAAAATATCAAATAGTTCCCAAACCACAGAGACCTTTGAATAGCCCTTTTTATAACCACACCCACCTTCCCTTTGTGAGGTGGGGGTAGGGGAACTCCCCCCAGCCACTAATCTGTCTTACTCTCTGGTTTTCCAGTTTTCTCATTGCAAAACTGTTGTATGAATGGAATCATCTAGTATATAGGCTTTGGGGATTGGTCTTTCTTTGCTCTGCAGAAGGTCCTGGAGACTTCCAAGTTGTTGTACAATAGTAGTTCATATCTTCTGATTGCTACTTATGGTGCCATAGTATGGATGTACCACTGTTTGTTTAAATTGTTGAAAGACATCTGGGCAGATTCTGGTTTTTAGTTGCTACAGATAAACCTGTTCCTGTTCAGGTGTTTCTGTAAACGTAAGTTTTCATTTCTCTGTGATAAAAAGGCCTACGGGTGCACTTGCTGGGTTGTATGATAGTTGCATGTACAGTTTTTTAGAAACTGCTAAATTATTTTCTGGAGTGGCTGCGCTATTTTGCATTCTTACCAGCAGTGTTTGTTTGTTTTAAGATTTTATTTTTATTTATTTGAGAGAGAGAGAGAGCATGAGAAGGGAGAAGGTCAGAGAGAGAAGTAGACTCCCAGTGGAGCTGGGACCGATGCTGGACTCGATACTAGGATTCTGGCTTCATGACCTGAGCCGAAGGCAGTTGCTTAACCAACTGAGCCACCCAGGCACCCCCTACCAGCAATGTTTGAACACTGTAGTTTTTCTGTCCCCTTAGGAGGGTTTGGTGGTGTTACTGTTTTTATCTTAGTCAATCTGTTATGTAATGATACCTCATTATATATTTTTTAAGATATTATTTATTTATTAGAGAAAGAGATCACAAGTAGGTAGGTGGTCGGGGTGCGGGGGGGAGAAGCAGGCTCCCTGCTGAGCAGAGAGCCTGATGTGGGGCTCAATCCCAGGACCCCGAGATCATGACCTGAGCTGAAGGCAGAGGCTTAACCCACTGAGCCACCCAGGTGCCCCTCACTGTAGTTTGAATCTGTATTTCCCTGATGGCTAATGATGTTCAGCATCTCTTCATGTGAGCAGTTACCTTTATTTTTTAACATGATTTTATTCTTTTTTTACATTTATATGAGCTTAATTATTAATAAAAATATTAAATTCTATTTGATAAATTTCCTGTTTCCTTTATCCTAATGATATTTGCAGAACTCCATTTATAAGTTGGATAAGAGATCTTTACTTAGTTTATGGATCAACATTAACTTGGTTTGTATTCACTTGGAGAGAATTTGTTTTTTAAGATTTTATTTATTTTTGAGAGAGAGATGGAGCATGGCAGGGGAGGGAGGAGGGCAGAGGGAGAAGCATACTCCCTGCTGACCAGGGATCCTGACTTGGGACTCAGTCCCAGGACCCTGGGATCATGACCTGAGCCAAAGGCAGATACTTAACCGACTGAGTAACCCAGACATCCACTTGGAAAATTTCAATAATTCATTCATTCATTTATTTATTTATTCGACAGAGAGAGATCACAGGGCAGGCAGAGAGAGAGGGAGGAGGAAGCAGGCTCCCCACTGAGCAGAGAGCCTGATGCAGGGCTCGATCCCAGGACCCTGGGATCATGACCTGAGAGGAAGGCAGAGGCTTTAACCCACTGAGCCACCCAGGTGCTACCAAGATTTTATATATTTATTCGACAGGGATCACAAGTAGGCATAGTGTCAGGCAGAGAGAGAGGGGGAAGCAGGTTCCCTTCTGAGCAGAGAGCAGGATGCAGGCTCAATCCCAGGACCCTGGGATCATGACCTGAGCCGAAGGCAGAGGCTTAACCCACTGAGCCACCCAGGCACCCCTTTTTAATTTTATTTTTTTAAAGATTATTTATTGTAGAGAGAGGGCAAGCATGAGCATGAATTGGGGGAGGGACAGAGGGAGAGACTCTTAAGCAGACTTCCCTTTGAGCTGTGGTGCCCATGAGGAGCTCGATCTCATGACACTGAGCAAACCAAGAATTGGATGCTTAATGCACTCAGCCCCCCAGATTCCCCTTAATTATTTATTTTTAAACCAGATTTGGCAAATCTGTGGCCTCTGTTCTAGATCTGGCTTGCTGCCTATGTGTGTATGGCCCTTGAGCTAAGAATAGTTTTTACATTTTTAAGGTTGAAAATCAAAACAAAGAATATATGACAAAAACCCTGTGTAGCCCACAAAGTCTATATTATTTGGCCTGTTACAGAAAAAAGTTTGCCAACTCCTATTTTTTAAATAACAGCTTTATTGAGATGTTTTTCACATATCTTAAAATTCGTCTTTATTATAATTCAGTGGTTTTTAGTACATTCACAGTGTTATGCAACTATCAGCTATATAACTGTAGGACATTTTTTAGCACTCCTAGAAGAAACTTTGTACTCATTAGTAGTCATTGCCTATTTTCTCCTTTTCCAAGTGTTTGGCAAACACTAATCTACTCTTGTTTTCTGTAGATTTATTTATTATGGATGTTTCATATAAATGGGATCATATGATGTGTGACTTTTTTCACTCACTGTTTTTAGGGTTCATGGATGTTTATGTATCAGTGCTTCATTCCTTTTTATGGCCAGGTAATACTCCTTTATAGGATATTCTATATAATTTTTATACATCAGTTGATGGGCATTTGGGCTTCCATTTTTTTCATTTATTTTTTATTTTAATCTTTGACTTTTTCCTCCAGATTGAGCTCTTTTTAGATTTGTTTGCATTATTTGGCTTACTGCTTACTGCCTTGTGGATTTTAATTTTGCTATGAATTTTTGCCTATGTATATTCATTTCCTCTAACAATAGATAAATCATTTTCCGAAATCTTCTCTTCTGTATCTTCAGGATGTGATTTCTATTTCCTCGTTAAGTAGTTTACTCCCTATAGTCTCATGGTGACTTCTTTTGATCATCCTTGAATTAACGGAGAAGAAAGAATCCTAGAGTTCTGGCCACAGATGGGCTGTGTGGGTGGCTGTTATATCTTCAGATACACAGTTGGGTGGCACAGTAATGTGCACAGCTCCTTCGCCACTTCTGAGTTTCTAGCAGACTTTCATCTAGTGAGCTTCCTTGGATCTGGATGGGTCCTTTTGTCTTTGTTGCTGGAACAGTTGGCGTATCCTAGGAGTCAGACTCTTGAGTCAGCCTGCCTGGGTAACTTTAGGCAAGGTTTTCACTTTTCTCTGTCAGTTTTCTCCTCCATTAAAAAGTGGGGAATGTTCGGCTCAGGTCAGGATCTTGGGTTGTGAGGGTGGAGTCCTGCCTCAGGCTCGGAACCCAGCAGGTACTCTGCTTCTCTCCCTCCCTCCTGACCCCCAGCCGGCACAGGTACTCCTGTGTGTACTCATGTGCGCACTCTCTCTCTCTGAGGAAATTATAGTTGAGACCTCGAAGTTGAGTAACAAGTATGAAGAAGGGGTTCCTTTCAAGAAAGCACATGTGTGGGGGCCACTGGGTAGGAATGAGTTTGGCCTGTGTCTGGAGAGTTAAGAGGCCAGGACCAGAACTTGGACCAGATCATGGAAGACTACAGTAGAGATTTTGGCCTTGATCCTTAGAGCAATTGCCGGAGGCCTTTGGAAGTTTTAGCCAGAAGTCATGTGGTCACATTTTGAATTTTTCAAAAAAATCAGTTTCAGATAAGAGGATCTGAGCTTGAATCTAGCAAGTCCCCTTTTACAGACAGTACGTGGCCCATGGCTGTAACAGATGGATCTGGGAACCAGGGCTCCTGGATCCTTTGGGGTTTTGGACCACATGCTTGCACAGGAAGGGAAGAAACAGGTGAGGCCACCTGTTCAGAGGTCCCCACCCAGTGACCTCTGAACCCTTTCTCAGAACACCACTGAAGAGGCTCACATGCATGGTTTGCATACTCACCCCTCTCAGCCTCCCTGTCCTCTTAGGGCTTTTCTCTGTGTGGAAAGGGAAAGTTCATTCCTTTTTTTTTTTTTTTAAAGATTTTGTTTATTTGACAGAGAGAGAGATCACAAGTAGGCAGAAAGAGAGGGGGAAGCAGACTCCCTCCTGAGCAGAGAGCCCAGGGAGGGCTGGATCCCAGAACCCTGAGATCATGACCTGAGTGAAGGCACAGGCTTAACGCACTGAGCCACCCAGGTGCCCCTACCCTTTTTTTTTTTTTAAATTTGAGAGAGCGAGCATGAGAGGAGAGAGGGTCAGGGGGAGAAGCGGACTCCCCGGTGAGCAGGGAGCCCAATGCGGGACTGGATCCTGGGATTCCAGGATCATGACCTGAACTGAAGGCAGTCGCTTAACCAACTGAGCCACCCAGACACCTGGGAAAGTTCATTCCTGATGTGGAGTAGAGGCAGTCCTACTGGATTGGGGGGTGGGGAGGTCATGTGGAATAAATGAGCTGATTTACTTAACCATTTCTCTATCACTAGGCAGTAAAGTTGTTTGAAATGTTCACTATTATAAAAAATATTGCAAGGGGCACCTCGGTGGCTCTGGGGGTTAAGCCTCTGCCTTCAGCTCAGGTCCTGATGTCAGGGTCCTAGGATCGAGCCCTGCATCGTGCTTTCTGCTCAGTGGGGAGCCTGCTTCCCCCACTCTCTGCCTGCCTCTCTGCCTACTTGTGATCTCTCTCTCTGGCAAATAAATAAATAAAATCTTAAAAAAAATTGCAGAGAATGTCTTTATATCATTTTGAGAAAACTTAATAAGCTCCTAAAACAAGATTTAAAAAAATGGGGAATGGAGGATAAATAAGAATTATTTCATATCTGGGGCGCCTGTGGGTGACTCAGTTGGTTAAGCATCTACCTTCGACTCAGGTCATGATCCCAGGGTCCTGGCATCTAGTCCCAAGTCAGGTTCTCTGTTCAGCAGGGAGCCTCTTATTCCCTCTTCCTGCCACTCTGCTGGCTTGTACTCTCACTTTCTCTCTCTCTGTCAGACAAATAAATAAATACATAAATGCACACACACATACATACATACATACAAATCTTTAAAAGAAAAACAAATTCTTTGGTTTGAGAATTAAATAATATCTATTGCTACCTAGAACATAGTAAGTACCAGCTGTTACAACAGTTACAAAAGGCTCTCCTGTTTCTGTTCTTTTCACAGTGCTGTCCCTGTGGAAACTGCTTCTGGATATACCATAATGAACTTTTTATTTACTGGTGGCTATTCCTACCCTTAACTTTTTGTTGAGAGTATTTACTGTTTTTTTTTCTTATTGATAAAATTAACTGCACATTGAACACCTTGGCTTATCGACCTTATGCCTTACTTTGGTTATTTAAGATGTTTTTAGAAGAGAATTGGTTTGAAAGGTATTCATATTTTAAAGACATCACAAATGTTAGATTCATTTTTAAAAGATATGATTTTTTTTTGTAGGTGTTAAACAAAATGTAGAAACTACCTGAGAAATTTTAAATTAACATTTGAGTAAATTATCTTTTAGTCTTGTTTTACTTATGTCTGTATGGAAATATATATGTATCTTTATATATGCAGATTTGTAGAATCCTTACACGTAGACATTTTCTTGTTTAGCAATTTAAAAAATGTCTTAAATAGCTGTATAAAATTCTATAAACGACTTTATGCTATATTTAATGATTCCTGATACATTTAAAATTTTTACCACTTTTTTTAAAAGATTTATTTGAGAGTGAACGCACACACGTGTGTGTAGGAGAGGAGCAGAGAGAGAGTAAGAATCTCAAGGAGACTCCCACTGAGCAGGGAGCCCAATGTGGGGCTCGATCTCAGGATCCTGAGATCATGATCTCAGCCTGAAGCAAGACTTGGTCTCTATGGACTGAGCCACCCAAGTGCCCAGTAAGACCTTTTTTTAAACCACTTTTGCCATCACAGTGTCTGGTTGAAGATCTTTATTAATAAATCTTTGATGATATTTCTGATTATTTGCCTTGGCTAAATTCCTAGAAGTGGAATCAGTGCATCCGAGGGCATGACCATTTATAGAACTTGATGCATATTGTCAGATTTTTCTCTTGAAAAGCTCTAAAATGCCTTACAAAGTACTAAGCAAGATAAGAACCATTTTAAAGAAGCTGGCACTAGAAGTCTTCATTCTGCTATTTTTATCACTCCTAAGACCAAGGGTTATTTCTCACATTACAAATAATAGTATGTAATGTGTGTCATGTTTTTAATACTGTGGGGGTTACTTTTAGGGAGATAAGGTAAACTACTGTGGCACTATTGATAGAGTGCAGTTTTGCTGCTTAGTGGTTGTTACTTGAGAGCAGTTGAAAGAGCAGTACCATGGTCCTTGAACTTTTGTCTACATCAGTTGACAGAGAGCACATAAACTAGAGAAGTAGTCTTTAAGTACTCCTCCTACCCAGAGACTGACACTGTAGGCATACTCGGTAGCAGACAGTTTCCCCTTTGAACTTATTTTCCAAAATTGGTAGTTTTCACTGGTGGTAAGTTGTGTATCTGTTTAGAAGTATTCACTGTTGTATAGAAAATTCTTATCAGTGCATGTGTAGGCCCATAATTTTTTTGACAAACTCTTATGGTAGAAATTCTTCTAAACTTTTAATGCCTGTGAATACATGCCTGTTAGTGAACATAAGGTATGACAAAGTGAATCTCAGAAAACTTGGTATTAGCAAAACTTTGGAAAAGCCAGTTGTGTGCCTTTTTTTGTGGACAAATACTTGTTACATTCACATTACTTTACATAGATTCCAGTACTCTGCCAGTAGGATTGTTCCTGATGGCAAATATGTTAAATTTTCTTTTTATTTATTTATTTATTTATTTGACAGACAGATCACAAATAGGCAGAGAGGCAGGCAGAGACAGACAGGAGGAGGAGGCAGGCTCCCTGCTGAGCAGAGAGCCCGATGCGGGACTCGATCCCTGGACCCCGAGATCATGACCCGAGCCGAAGGCAGAAGCCTTAACCACTGAGCCACCCAGGCGCCCCTAAATTTTCATTTTTTTTAAAAGGTCTGATACTTACAGATTTGCCACAACCTGATCTAACAATTTTTGGATGAGTATTCTTAATTTTTTAAAAAATTTTCTTCCATATGTCCTCTCTTAAGACTGGCATTTTAGAATGAGTTTTTTTTTATAATGAACACTTTTTGGTGTGTGCTTCATTTGCAGATAAACATTTTTTGATGTAATCTATATAGTGCTATGGGAGTCTCTTATGTTTTTGAAATTTGTTCTTTTGATGGTCAGGAATATGCCATTCAGATTTCCAGCTGTAGTTTATAGCCAGGAAGAGATAAGGCTGATCATTATTTTTTAAGTTTATTAAATATTAAAATTATTTACAATATATTTACATTTATTTATAATAATATTACGATCATTAAATATATTCATGATACATAAAATATATAAAATATAATTAAAAATATTTTTATTGTGAGAGTGAGCCCACACCTGTGAAGGGGGCAGAGGGAGAGAGAGACTCCCTGCTGAGTAGAGGGGGCCAGCTGCAGGGCTCCACGCTGGGACCCTGAGACCATGACCTGAGCCAAAAACAGATGCTTAACTGACTGAGCCACCCAGGTGCCCCAAGATTTTCTAAGTAATCTCTATACCCATTGTGGAGCTCAGAGTCACAACTCTGAGATCAGGAGTCTTCTGTGCCCCTGATCATTATCTTAAGTCTTACACTTTTAATTAGGTCCTTATGTAACAATTTAATTTTCTTTCTGTAGTTAAAATGGCCTAGTCCTCAGTATTGATTTCAACTTGAACATGATTGGTGAAATAAAGACTGGCAGAACCAGCAGTTGCAAGGTTTTGTGTTTAAAGGTCACTAGTATCATTAAATGATTTTGGAAAATACGTGTTCATCCTTTACTTTGTAAATTGTTTTTTGTCTAGGAACTGCTGACATTTACATGAGGTGTATATATTCTGGTAGCAAAACAGTTCTGTTAACTTGTTTATTATGTGGGTCTGTTACACATTAGGTAATCTTTAAACTCTTTATGTTTTTACTTTTATTCTTTAAACTCTTAATGTTTTTACTTTAATTGCTAATGATAGTAGCAGTGTTTAATGATAGTAAAGTGGAAGTTCATTCTTTAAAATATTTTCAGAGAGAGCACGAGAGGGGGAAGGGAGCTCTGTGCCAGACTCCTCTCAGTTCTGAGATCAGGACCTGAGTTGACACTTGACTGAGCCACCCAGGCACACATGGAAGTTCATTCTGACCCTGGTTATTGTGGTGACTTCATTTCCCCCTTGTGTATCATGGAAGACCCTCTCGTAATAGTAATCACGTGTTGGAACAACTGTTTAACTACATGTCCTTTTGTGCTTGCCTTTGATGAGAACAGAGTTTTAAAGGTTTTGAGACCTGAATTTGAATTCCAGTTCTATTTCTGATCTTTGTCTGCTTCATGACTTCACTGAACCTTGGTTTCATATGTCAGATAGGATGTCTCTTCTGTAGTACAGCGTCTTGAAACTCAGCAAACTCTGGTATTTAGCGTTACGGGCAGTGAAGAAATAAGAGTGGAAACATTCATGAATGTGTTAGGCCAAAAGAGTAGGTCCCCCCTCTCCTTTGAGGAACCACCCAGACATCCCAAGATGGGCTCAAATATGTAACCCCAAGATCTAGAATCACGTGCTCTGTGCCTGCCACGTACCCCTCAAGTTTGTGCTTCTGCGTGGGTTTTTCTCACTGGTATCATCTCCTGGTAATGGTTCTTGGCCTGTTAGTGAAACAGAGCCATGGTGATCTAGGCTTGCCTATGTAAAAAATCCTCCAGGAGAGCAAAGGTAGTTGAGAAAATTGGACAACTTAGATTTATTTGGTAGTTAAGGAAGCAAATATTTGAGTGAAGGCAGTTTTAGTCTCAAGGTATAGACAGAAATGTGTTTTAGCTAGCAGAATTTCAGGACATTAAATGAAGGACTACCAGGATTTCTCTGATCCCCCTGCCCCAGCAGGAAATAGGTGGACCTTCTTGGTACTGGGTGGCTTTTTCATGGTCTGTATTTCTGCTTTTTTCTTTTTCTTTTTTTTAAGATTTTACTTGACAGAGATCACAAGTAGTCAGAGAGGCAGGCAGAAAGAGGAGGAAGCAGGCTCCCCGCTGAGCAGAGAGCCTGATGTAGGACTTGATCCCAGGACTCTGGGACCATGACCTGAGCTGGAGGCAGAGGCTTTAACCCACTGAGCCACCCAGGCGCCCCTTATTTCTGCTTTTTTCAATATAATCTCTTCTCTGCGTCCACTTATTCACCTGGTTATATTCAGTAGAAAGACACCCCAACTGCCAGACATTTTGGGGAATTTCACCTTATTTTTCCAAGCTATCTGGTCCAAATGCTTAGAGGGAACCTGAGTTGGTCAGTTTACCATTTCTCACCAGGTACAAAGTGATTTGGCCATTTAGGAGAATACTTTTGCTGTAGTTGTTGGGTGGCCTGGGGTAGTAGGAGTCATGAACTTGCCCTTTCTAGGCTGGTATCCTGAAACATGTTCATAAAATATTGATCTGTTGAATTTTACTTTAATATAGCTTAGTTACTCTTTAAACTTCCAGTGTGATATGTCAACAATAAATCTCAGTGATATCCTTGTGTCTGAGTTTGGTTCTTCTATAGCAGAGAACTGATCAAGCTCGTTTAAGTAAAGGGACATTCATTCTAAGAGACACCGAACAGTTTAACAATGTAATCAAAACATTTTTTAAGGTTTTTTATTCTGGACTGCATGGTCTGTTTACCTGATTCCTTCTGCTGTGTAATTTTAATTTTCAATAATAGCTACCTGAGAAACTGATAAATTGTAATTCATAAAGTATTTGGATCATGAACTTCTTATATTTGTGCCTAAGTTTCTTTTTTTTTTACTCTCCCTCCCCAAACCTTGGCTGGCAAGAGACACAGACATCTAAATGGTGAGGTAGGACAGTCAGGAGACAGTAGTGCCATGAAGTTCAGGAATAAATTGTAGAAGGTAACTTCTCAGTCTTGTGACCCTGAGATCACAACCTAAGCCAGAATCAGAGTTGGACACTTAACCCACTGGGCCCACTAGGTACTTCTGTGCAGTGATTATGGAAATGCTGAACTGGAGAGACAGCCAGCCCCCCCCCCACCCCCACCCCAGCATGGGAAAGAAAGGGTGAGTAGGTGAAGGAGACATTTCAGTAACTTTATAAAAGTTAAATATGGGGTGAATACAGAAGTTCTTAACTAAATACTGGACATTCTATCTCATTAACCCGTATAACAAACTTGTATATACAGCAGTTGCAGATGAGGAAACAGTGATGTATGAGATGTTGGGTATGTTGAGTAGGATGATGGGAAAGTGATGTAGTTTTGGAATATAGGTGAGGTTTCGGGGCTGACGATGACCAAGAAAAGAATTCATGAGCCGTCTTTGGTGCAAAATGGTAGCTTATTAAAGGACAGGGACAGAACCCCGGGGGCAGAGAGAACTGCTGCATGAGGATCTTGAGGATGTTGAGGACTGGGAGTTGGGGGAAAGGAGGGAAAGGTCTCAAAAGAACTTTCGTATGCTAAGAAGAACCAACCTACAATATATTTAAGAGACTGGAGACCTTGCCTTTCCTTAAATTTGTTTTCCCCTCCAGCATGTTACTACAGTTGGCAGATTCCTGGAAGATAGTCATACGTGTCCCACCCAAGAGTCCCCAGGGGTGGGTGGGGAGGTTGCAGGGTGCAGGCTTATGTTTTGTCCTCAGCTAGCGTTCAGTTCCCTCATTTCCTCCCTGAACAATTTTGACCCTTAAATCTGAGGTTGCTGAAGGTGGAAGTTCTCATCTTCTGTAAGATCCTCCTGCTGTAGGGGTGTAGAGACACCCTGAACATATTACAGAAGTGGAGGCAGTTGAATCCAACGCTGACAGAAGTATTTCCAGGTGATAGGGATCATCTGTTGTTGTGAAGTCATAGTAGGGATGGAGTCTCAACAGCAAGCGGAGATTAGAAAAGGCAACAGATTAAGATCAGTATGGCTATTAAGAATGAGAAATCCAGGGCACCTGGGTGGCTCAGTCATTCAGCGTCTGCCTTCGGCTCAGGTCATGATCCCAGGGTCCTGGGATCAAGTCCCACAACAGGCTCTCTGCTCTGCAGGAAGCCTGCTTCTCCATCTCCCACTTCCTCTGCTGTGTTCCCTCTCTCACTGTGTCTGTCTCTGTCAAATAAATGAATAAAATCCTTAAAAAAAAAATGAAAAATCCAACAAAGTGACCCCTAATAGTTGACCGTAATTTTCCTCTAAGCCAGGAACTTAGCCCATCATTAATGGGACAAGAGATCATTTAAAGCACCAATTTGAGTATTCATGTTGGTTAGAAACCCAGAAGTATTTTTGTGGTAATCTGGAATATATACACAGCATATTTATGATGGTGTAAGTTCTACCTTATGCAACACTTAAAACGTCTAATGCTATTCTGTTTTGTAAAACTGCTTCACACAACTGTATTCCTTTATTGTTTAATAGAGGAATACTATTTTCAGTTGTCATTTAGGGCTTTGAGCTTCCCTGTGCCAAACATCTCCAGTCTTAAAGAGGGAAGAAAGATGGATGCTAGGTGGTCCTAACAATGTAACACAGAACAGGTCCACTATTGTTTTAAATTTGGAAGGTTAGCTGGGTTGGTAATGGTTTTAATAATGCCTCCATGTATGCAGGCAAAAACCCAGAGTACAGTGGCCTGTCCAGCCTGAGGGAATCCATGGCCACAAATTAAGAGTTGCATAGCCACTGGGTTCTAGCCAGGAGCCAGCCATCTAATACTGGGCCTCTTTGAAGTGCAGTCAGGGTATCAAGGGCTATTCACTTGGGAGGCCTATCCTTTGAATTTGTGTAATTTCTGGGTCAATATGATTGAGGAATTACGACTTGATAATAACCCCCTTTTTAAATTGCTCAATGGGCATGTAGGAATACAGAAGCATATTTGGAGTCAGTACGAATATTAATTTAAGACTTCAGCAATTGCCAAGCACAAGTGAGCACTACAGCATACCCAGCTTTTATTCCTTTTTCCCTAAACTATTGTCATCATGAAACCTGACTGCATTTTTTAATCTGGATGACTGGAATAAAAAAGATCAAAACCTCTGAACAGTTGCACTCTACAGAATTACTAAGGGTAGATAGATGGGTTTAAAGTTTGACAGCTTTTAAATGTGTTTCAGGCCTGTGTTTACTTTTGGTCTCTTAAGACTGTCATTACAGTCAGAGACTATCTCTTGTGAGCAGCTTTGAGGCTCCTTTTACTGGGAGAGCTGTTGTATGGTCATAAGCTAAAGCCTTACTCTGCAGTTGGTACCTCATTTGAGGTGGCTTCTGGGATAAACAGGACTATGAGGGACAAAACTATTTAGAAGCCCTTTTTGTTTGGGGTCCAGTCTTAGCAGTATCCTAATTACAGAGAATCCCCCTCCCAAGTAGGAGAAAAACTCATCAAGAGATAAGGGCATCCCCAAGTGTATCACCCAGTCCAGTCATAAAGTGAGGTCATCCATTATCACCTTTAAGTGCGTAGTTAACCCTGTGGAGTGTGGTATGCTCTGGCTTTTAAGGAAATTTTCATCATCCCAGCCACCAAGAATTGAAGTGTTAGTGAAGTTATATGATGGGGGAATTAATCCTAAATAACTACATGCCCATGGGGTCCTGTTATCCCTACAGAAGAAGCAATTATACATGAACTATTGTGTGGAAGTAGAAAAGCTGTTTCTCTGAAGTTTACCTCAAGCTGTCTACCTTAACTAGGACTTACCATACACAAAGGTGGGTTACTGAAACAATTAAAAAAAAAAACCCTCATTTTCAGAGATAGCCAAAATCAAGACTTATGTTAGCAAAACAAGTCCCAGTTAACTTGACCTAATTATTTACATAAGCTCAGTAAGAATGATTGATTATATAGATCATTTAGAATATGCTTTACCAAAACATTTTATAGAGTCTTTAGGTTGAACTTTTAGTAGCCTCTCCACGCCAGAAGCCCAGCCAGGTACTGCCATCAGACATGCCTGTAATTCCTGTAGATGTGGGCAGATCCTCTTCATGAGGTCCCCAATATATCCTGAGGTTCCCCCACACAAGCCAGAAGTGATGTTCTTTACTCACCTGGTGAGGATGGTGGGAACTCTGTAAGCAAGACCAACATTTCCAAGGAGCCTTATGGTTCCAGGTTTCATAAAGTCAGCCGTGTTAGTTCCTCAGAGCTATTTGGTCATATCTAAGTCTATGCATGTCTCTCTCAAATATGATATTCCAGTCAAAGCCCTGGTGAAATAACCAACATTTCCAAGTGTATCCTGTTACAAGGATAACAGATTTTTATTTCTTTAAGA